AGGGGAAAATTCAGCCCCCCCGGGTTTGGTGGGGGGGGGGGTTGTGAGGGATGGGGTGAATATATGAGAGAGTCAGATGTCATACTGTCCCATCGCTGCTATCAACCAAATGCCTATCATTCAAGGGGGAAAGCTGGGGGAAGGACGCGAAGTAATAAATATAACAATGTATAAAAATTGCAAATCAATCATTACAGTGTAACATGAAAATGTTCCTGGTAAGTATAATACAAAATGCTGGATTAATTTATACTTCTAGCTACCTGACCAGTGCCCGTTTAACAAATCCGCTGACTTTTGATGAATTCTTTTCTTGATATTGCATGGATAATCAGTGTATTGGATTACCAATATAAAAAAGGAACAGACATGTGTTGACATGATGTAATGTACTGCTGAAGAAGTGGTTCAACGAAATGGAGTATCATTCCAGAGTCTTCGTTACTACACCTTATTCACCTGTTACAATTTGATATATTGTTTAGTTGCTTCGTTTTGTATTATACTTGCTAATTAGACTAATTACTTGCTAATTGCACTGCAGTTTTTCATGTTACACTGTAATCGCTTTGGTTTGCATCTACCTGGAGACCGGCACCCCACCAGTTAAGATCTGTCTTACAAGCCCTGCCCTCTGTGGCCTCATTTTCAGACAACTAGTGGGTGGCGACAAGAAATAAGGTCTTTTTCTGTGGAACACCCTTCCCCTTGACCTTGCTATTCAGATATCTCCTTGTCCTAGGATTGCCAGACCCCTTGGTGGAGGCGGGGGTCCCCTACCACCGGGCCCTGACCCCCAGCTGCTGATCAACTGGCTGGCAGGGTGTATTGTACCATCTCTGGTTTTCAGAACAATTTGCCACCAGAATCTCTACAAATAGTCCCCCCAACCTGAGATTAGAGATTCAAACTCTCAGTTGGCATCTGGGGTTTACATATCAGCAGCTGCACTCAGAGATGCACACTTTACTCTTCATAAAGGTAGCATAAGTGGTCAGCGTAAGTGGGCACGAGGAACTGGGGAATGGGGGGAGAGCTTCACATGTTCAGATCTGAATTAACAGCAGCCATGGGGGAAGGGGCGTATCTTACAGGCCTCTCAAGTAAAACATCGGAGTCCCTCCAGCCGCACGGACCACGTCTCCAAAAGTCGGCCAGCTGAAACCGAGCTTTGCCAGTCGCCTGATATTGTCTGGAGCCACAAAAATCAAATTTCCCACACAGGTAAATCTTCATTGGATGGTCATGTGGTCCTTGCCATGCAGTGGCTGATACAAAAACCACCTTTGCTGGCCAAAAATTCCATGTTCACAGGAAGAGAGGCTTAAATTGCTAGGAGAGGGAAGATGGATGGGACATCTCGAGCTGTCTAACCTTCCTCAAGTGGGGCAGACCCTGGAATTAAACTGATCATAGGGTTGCCCGATCCCCTGGCCAGCAGGGGGACTTGCCTGGAGAAATAGGAAGGCCCAGGCCTCATTGCCAGCACTGCACAGGAAGTGACATCATCACACCAGCGATGTCCAGGTGGAGCTCTGGTATTTGGGAAAATCTCTGTGGTAGAAGCCAGTTTTACCATAGAGGTTTTGCCCAAATACCAGAATGTCACCTGGACATTGTGGTGTGAAGACAATGACAAGAGGAAGAAGAGAGCAATGAGGCCTGGGTCTTTCTCTTCCTCCAGGTAAATCCCCCACCATCCCCCATTAAACCCGGCAGCCCTATCTTGTCCTCAACGACCAACGTCTAGCTATGAAAAATCAAATTGTTCTTTTAAAGAAAACCGAGACACACATTCACTTTTAACACCCTGGGTCCTCCTTCACTGGAGAACCCAATTACAATCCCATGATTAGAGTATAAATTCTTAATACTTGTCCCCATCTTTGCAGAATTTCCCCCTGCCTCCTTCAGGCCAAGTGTGTTATTAATAATAATGCTAATCAGCAGTGCAGGCACAAGGGGATCTGCAGAGCACCGGGCCTACAGCTTCAGTAAAAGACTTCAGCCCATGGACAACTCCTTATGCTTTTTGTTATCATTGAAGAATCCACCACTGATATAAAAAGTCAGTTTGATAAAAGGCAACTTGCAGAGACCGCTTAACTCCTCGACTCTTCAGCCTTTCCTCCGAGGGAAGGTGTCCGAACTCATCTGGGTTGCCCTCCTCTGTACTTTTCCCAGCTCTGTAACGTCCTTTTCGAAATACGGGGAACCAGAACTGCACACAGTATTCCAAATAGATCTAAACACGAGCATTACAATATCGGCCGTTTTATTCTCAGTCCCTTTCCTAATAATCCCTAACACAGAATTTGCCTTCCTCACTGACGCAGCACGCTGGGTTGACGCTTCCGTTGAGCTGCCCGCTATGACCCCAATATCTTTTCCCCTCTCAGCCTCAGCAAGTTTGGCGGTGGCGGCGACAGCGGCAACAATGGCGGCAGAGCAGTTCCTGGTGACCCGGTGGAGCAACGTCGGAGGTGAAGCCCGAAGAAGTGGAGCCTTGGAGAGCGTGGTGATGTGCGGCGCAGCATGGCGGAGCCACCTGTGGACAGTAGCTGGAACTGCAGCCAACACAGAGCCACGCGCCAAGACGAGACCTGTCGGAGGAAGCTGCTCGGGAAAGATTGGCTCCAGAAAGGGCACCAGGATGCCAATATCTGAAGCTGCGGAAGGAAGCCGGATGACAACTAGCCCGGGGTGCTGGTAGGCAGTCACCACCCTGTAGACAATGTGGCCCTAGTTAGGTTAATTGGTTGGTTAGAACCACTATGTAAACCGCCCAGAGACCCTTCGGGGTCAGGGCGGTATACCGAAGGTATAAATAAATAAATAAATAAGTTCAGACCCCATTAGCCTAGACTTGAAGTTGGGCTGCATTATTACGATCAATGCCCTCTGCTGATAAAGAATGCCGATGTCCACGGTGGGAAAGGGGAAAGGGAGGACCACATATGTTATGGTTCTTTGTATTTTATATTTCCTTTCATTGTTGGCTTGTTTTAATAAATTCATAAGTGATATATATGTTTTTCAAATATCCCCCTGAATCACTACAAGAACGTAACTCCCAGGGAGCTCAGCCCAGGCAGTTGTTTGACGAATAGCCTTAGAGCCCTGAGCAATGCTCCTTCTAAGCTGAGGCATCTCATGAGCAAAAATTCTCCTTTGTGAACTGCTGGCATTAAAGTTGGGAGCAGGTGATTTGGCCACCGCCTAAATTAGTTTGTTCTGGAGCCATCCCTTCCTGAGCGAAGACAAAAAAGTGTGAGCCAGAGGCTAAAAAACTGTGAGCCAGCTCACACTAACTCAGCTTAGAGGGAACACTGACCCTGACTGTTCCCTGGAAGGCCAGATCCTGAAGCTGAAGCTCAAATACTTTGGCCACCCAATGAGAAGGGAGCACTCCCTGGAGAAGACCCTGATGCTGGGAAAGACTGAAGGCCAAAGAAGAAGGGGACGGCAAAGGATGAGATGGTCAGGCAGTGTTATCGATGCAATGAAGATGAAGTTGAGCAAACTCTGGAGGACGACAGAGGACAGGAGGACCTGGTGTGATGTGGTCCACGGGGTCGCGAAGAGTCGGACTCGACTGCGCGATTGAACAACAACAATTATTTAAAAGTGTCGTGAGGGCTCAGGCGCATGGTATGGGGGATCAGGAAACCCTTGTCCTCTCCCCTTGCCTTTTCAAGTGCCAACACCGCCCCTCCCATG